TATATATATATATATATATATATATAGGGGAATGATCTCATGTCACCGTGTCATTAAAATATAATAAAACCACAATTCTAGAAAACCATGTATATGGCATTTGTTTTTTGCATACACACTCTCATTCCAATATTCAATCCAAAAAATAAAATAAAATTTAATTTGTACCCTAAATATGATCAAAATGAGTCCCCTCCAACAATGAATCTAGACCATCTATGTCACCGTGCCATTAAAATATAATAAAACCACACTTCTAGAAAACCATATTTATGGCATTTGTTTGACCCCAAATTTTGCATTAACTCTCTTCATCCCAATAATCAATCCAAAAAATAAAATAAATTTTAATTTGCACCCTAAATATGGTCAAAATGAGTCCCCTCCAACAATGAATCTAGACCATCCATGTCACCGTGTCATTAAAATATAATAAAACTACACTTCTAGAAAACCATGTTTATGGCATTTGTTTGACCCCAAATTTTACATACACACTCTCTTCATCCTAATAATCAATCCAAAAAATAAAATAAAATTTAATTTGCACCCTAAATATGGTCAAAATGAGTCCCTTCCAATAATGAATCGAGACCATCCATTTAGTGAATTCCAAAATCTAGGCCTTTATGAATTCAAAATCAATTTTTCTTATTTAACATTGTTAATCTAATGATAATAAAGCTATCTAAAAATTTTGGAAAGGAAAAATCTCTAAACCCTAGATCTAAGTATCTCACTAAAACGGATGAAATATATTAATTGAGGTAAAAAAAAGCTTTCTAGGGTGTGTTTTCAAATTTTTCCTTTTTTCTATTGTTCATTAGAATGACTGCAACTAGTCTGTCATTTCGCTTTATCCAAGGCCATACCTTCAGTTAAACCATAAGCCACCATAATTCTTCTTACTACTTTTATTCATGTCCTTTTGGGCCTTTCCCTTACCCTTACAGAGTCTTCCACTTGAACAAAATCACCCTGCCTAACCGGTATTGTTCTAGGTCGATACTGCAAATGGCCAGACTACCTAGGTCTACTCCCTCATCTTATTGCCTATTGGAGCTAACCCTAAGTTCCTCGGATGTATTCATTCCAAATTATATCATTTCTTGACTTGCCACTAATCCATCTCAATATCCTCACCTCAGCAATCCTCATTATATGGTTATGTTGTTTCTTGACTGTACAATATTCCATCTTATAGCTGGTCTTACAGTCGTCCTATAGAACTTCTCTTCAATTTCATTGGATATATGTATGTATTTATATACATACATATATATACATATATAGGGGATAATATACAATTCACAACCCTTCAAATTACCAAGGTTAATGTTAAAGTGAGTTGCTGAAACTTTATTTATAGAGTACCATTGTTCTTTAGTTTGAATTTCAACTTTACCTTTTACGAAAATGACAAAAGTACCATTTTTCTTTTAGTGATATTTACACAAACACCCTTACATAATGAGCAAGATATCACAAAAAGTAACTTTAAAAGAAAAATCCTCATATTTAATAAGTCCACCCATCACAACTCAATTTAACATTAATCTTTGTAATTTGAAGGGTTATATATATATATATATATATATAGGGGAATACTTGCATACTTCCATGGGCTAATTTATCACAACTCAAGAACTCCAAAAAATACCTCGGGAAATTTAGCAAAACACACCTAAAATATCAACCAATGTCTTCAAAATTGTTGATCTAACTCAGACCAGCCAAGTGGATTGGAACGGGGAGGGTACCAATCCAAGTAGCCCCAAAATTAGGCAAGTCACTAGAAAAGCCTTATTTTGTCTTTTGATAAAAAGCCTTTTTTTTTTCTTTTGGCTTCTGTTGGGTGGATTTGAAATCTGCGATTTCTAGGTGGATATGTAGCTGTTTTGGGGGGGATTTTAGTGCCATTTTTGGGCAGGTCTTTTGGCTGGTTTTTTTGGGCAGTTGGGTGGCTTCAGGTTGCAGAAAGAAAGATGAATTTGGCCCAGTAAACCTTCAAATCAATTGAGGTTTGAGGATTGAAGGTTGGTTTGAACTTCAAATCAAAAGGGCAAGTCAAAAGTTCATAGCGAATTAGGGTTTGTCTAAGTTGAGGAACACTGCTTGTTTTAGGGCATCTTCTGCTTTTGTTATGGAGCATTGCAGGGTTCAATCGCATGGTTTAGATTTAATGGAAGAAAATAAAAGAAGAAGGAATGGTTTGGTTCTTAGAAGTGAGACTGAAGGGAGTGAAATTGCAGATGATACTGGAAAATAGAAAATAGGGTATTGAAAAGTGAAGATATCAGATTGGTTCATGGCTGAAAAAGTTAAAACAAGAGGAAGCAAATGGAGAGGAATGACTGTTACATTAGGATTTTGAAGAATAAAAGCAAAGAACAGATTTTTCAAACTCAGTGCTAGTAGTTTTGAAGCCAAACTTTGACGGTCAAAGGTTGGTTTTCAGGATGGTTTGAAGGTTTGCAGGTTGGTTATTGCCTTCAATGAATTTGCCTCACAACCAAAAGGTTTGAATTTGCATCACCACCATTAAGTTTTGAAGGTTCGTTTATTTCACTGCCATTCTGAACTGGTTTTTTTGGGCAGTTTGGTGGCTTCAAGTTGCAGAGAAGAAAATGAATTTGTTGGTTTTGAAGTTGTAAAGAAGAAGATGGGTTAGGTGATGGTTTTAGATTTAGAGAGAGAGACAGAGAAAGGGAGAGAGAGATCAGACCTGCACATCAACAATGGATATGAAATGTAGGGAGAGGAATCCCAACCAAAACACACACATGCAGACACACACACACAGAAAGAGAGATCAAACCTGAAAATCTGGAAAAAGGAGAGAGAGAGAGGGAGGGGGGGGGTTTTCTTTTTTTCTTCAATAATTTGCTAGACCTCCCAACTTTTCCCAGCAGGCTTGCTAATTCGGCTGAGCAGGTCAGAACAGGTGGGTCACCAGTTCAACCCATCAATGCGATTATTGAAACACCCATCAAGTTTTTCACATTTCACCGATTTATCAAAACAAACCTAAATATCAACTTTCTAACTCATGACTATGTGTTCTTGATGGGCTTTCAGAAATAAAATCAAAAGCATCGATTAAGATGTTAATAGCTTATTTCTTAGGTGCTTTTGGATAAAGTTCCTAAAAACCTATATAGGGAGATTTATCTGGTCCAACAATTTACATATACACTCTCTTGAACCCAAGAAACAATCTCAAAAATAAATAAAAGAATTTTGTTAGGTGAGGAAAATTTTGTTGAATCTCAGCCATCCATTTTAGATCTAGACCTTCAAGAACATCAACAATTTTTCCTTTTTTAATTGTTCATATGGTTGTGATGAGGACATTTACAAATCCCTACAAGGCCTCAATGGAAAACCTTTTTTCTTTTCTTTCTTGGTATATATTCACTGCATTTTCTCTCTCAAAAAAAAATCTGAGGGTCTTTTTAGATTTTTTTTTTATTAGCTTGTTCACAGGGATAAAAGATGGGTTTCCATGAAATTTGGGGTGAAACAAATTCACCCTAGATAGCTTTCCTTCTGAGTTTTTGGGCTGTGAGCTAATTTGCGCCAATACTGTAGAACTAGCTCATGGGAGAATGCCATCTTCCATATATATATATATATATATAGGGGAATGATTTCATGCAACGATTGTATAGTAATATAATAAAACTAATCTTCAAAAACTATGTTAGAGCCATTTGTTTGACACCAATTTCTAAATATACACTCTTTTCATTTTAAAAAACAATCACAAAAAGTGAAATTCGAAAAAAACCCCTAGAAAGTGTTTTTTTAGCCCAATTAATATAAGCCGTCCATTTTAATGAGATGTTTAGATATATGCCTTAGAAGGAATTTTTTCTTTCCAAAATTTTTAAATAGTGTTATTATCATTAGATTAAAAATGTTAAAAAGGGGAAGAGTGATTTTGAATTTGTTAAGGTCTAGATCTTGAAATTCACCAAATGGATGGTCGAGATTCATTGTTTGAGAGCACTAATTTTGACCATATCTAGGGTGCAAATTGAATTTTATTTTTTTTTGGGATTGATTATGAGGATGAAGAGTGTGTGTGCAAAATTTGAAGTCATACAAATACCAAACACATGGTTTTATCATGGCGTGGTCTCATTTTATTACAATAACATGGTGACATGAATATATATGTGTGTGTGTGTGCATGCATACATATATATAAGAGAGAGAAAGACCCATGCATACACAAATGCCTTTATATATACATATCACACATGCATAAATAGGAAAATTACCTTAGGAGAAAAATCTTCAGTTAGGTAAATAGCACTAGAACTCAACTCAGATAGTATATAAGGAGGCTGAAGCTCTGAGTGCAAGTATCTTAAACCACGAGCAATGCCAATAATAATTTTCATACGTTTGGACCATGATAATTGAGCCCCCTCACCAACTGCATTAAGATACAATACTCCCTTCTTAGTCCTCAAAGAAATTGAAACTAGAATGTCTCAAATCTAAATTTACATAAAAATAGAAGTTACAATGTAGACTAATATACAAAATAACACAGAGAATGATGCAGGAAGACAAGACTTACAGTGAAGATGCTCATACAGAGTCCCATTTGAAGCATATTCAAAGACAAGCATTCTGGAAAAGGGTTCACTCTCTTTGCAATACCCTAACAACTTGGCGATGTTTTCGTGATTTAACCTTGCTAAATCTGCAACCTAGACGACAAAAATTAACTTAAAAGAAATGCATCAAATGCTTCATATAGATAAATGAGCAAGGAGATGGAGATGAGAATAGGGAAAGAAAGCAGAGAGGGAATGCCAATTTTTAGAAATATTAAGGTAGGAAGCATCAAGACCAAAGTTTTGGAATGGGACTTCCACTGTAATTGCAAGATTCGTAAGGCTAAGGGTTTTCCATATGATTAATTGCAACAACTTGGTAGTTTATTTGTGATCTACAACTGTTAGATCTGCAACCTAAATGACAAAATTTAACTAATAAAGAAAGGCATAAAAGGCTTCACGTGGATGACTAGGAGATCAAGATGAGATGGAATGAAAGCAGAGAAGGAATGCCAATATTCAAAAGTATTAGGGTAGGAAGCATCAAGAACAAAGCTCCAGATCAGGACATGATTCATGAGACTAAAGCTTTCCATATGAATAATCTTTATTCTGATGTGTCCGAGAAGCATAGTGATCTTTCAAGTATGATTTAGGTTTGAAGAGAAAGCCTTTTTGGGGTTGGCCACTTATTTCACTTTTTGGTCTTAAAATTCATTGAATATGTAAGATTTGGGGTTATACTTTTAGGTCCCTAATTTGAAGATCAATATATTGGACTAGGTTTATAAGTCAATATCTAGAAGGCCCTTTAAGGCTGAGTTTGGGAAGGGGGTTTTACTGCATTAATATGAAATATCCCTAAGGATTGTTTGGTGGTCCATGGTGACATGTTTGCTAATGCCTTTTACAGTGGAGCGGCTCTTCTCATCTTGATTGTGTCTTTTGCTATGTGCTGCCACATCAGTCGTGTTAGGTAGGCTTATATGGAGTGCTGGACATGAAGAATAATTAGAATCAAAAGTAAGTTTTGATGTCATAAATCAAGTTTCAGGTTTACCAATCATAATGAAAAAAAATGAAAGGAATTATGGTTCAGAATTGAATCAAAAGTTATGAGGTGGGAATTAGAAATGCAAGGGTAGAAGCGTAGTTTTTTTCTTTGATGGTTATCCAGGGTGTAGCCTTTACTTCTTTTTTTGATATGTAGGGTGTAGCTTTAATATTATGAAACCATGTTCATATTCCTAGGTTAGAAATGTAAGTCTTGGAGCTAAAACTCTATCAAGGAACTAGGATTCGAAATCTGCAGTAACATTTTCTCCCTCTAAAAATAAGCTGGACAAATTAGACATGTTTCAAGCTTTAGGTTAATAGGCCTTTTCTTAGGTAAGCTAAACATCTTATTATTGGGTAAAACTTGGTTTTGTCTGAGAAACCAATGGGTGGGAAGGCAAGCTTGCAAATTTAAGATCCTTGCCCCCACCCCTCACAACCCCCTCTCTTCACGTATAAACCGTGTATCAGACCACTGGACCAAAGGCCACGGGGTAGAAAAATTAATTACTTGCCTTAGGGCTCTAGAAGTATAGTGGTATATGGATATGAGTTTACATATTTAGGTAATATATCATGTGCTGGGGTTTAATAGTGCCCAACCCAACTTTCAGGGTCAGGGATTCAGGTTTCATTCTAAAGTTTTCATATTGCAATTAGATTACTGTCCCCAACTTAAAAAATGATAGAAATGGAGCACTAAAAAGTTCGTCTCAAGTCTCTACTAACAACTATGATCCAAAAGAAAGTAAATCAAATCCGAACAAATCTAAAGGGAAAGTAGCTCCGGTCATATTTCTCTATATACATACAATATCTGCAATGACCGAAAAAGTTTGTTAAGATTACCTGACTCTGAAAATAAAGTTCATGAGAGCAAGTCCAATATTCTTTGGACATGCAAAGTGATATCACAGCTATCTCTTGTCCATCCTTAGTAATTCCTTTGTAGACTACACTGTCTGGAGAACTGCCTATTATGTTACTGAAATCCTCACAAGCTGTTTCCAGATCCTCACGACTTATGAGTAACACATCCTTCAACATCTCACCATCTGTTAAAAACAATTACATGAATGATTATTATGACTTTTCAATAACCACATAGAAAGATGCATGAATTGTATATAATCATATATTACTGTGATGTATGGCTTTATATGTCCTATGTTATTGTAAACTTTTCACCGCATGAACCAAGTATGAATTGCAACTTTCAAAGAAAATTACCAATGTGTTGAGTGAAACTTGTATACTTTGATTATGCCAGATACTTTGTGATAATCACTACTAAAACAGAATTCATCGTGTTGTAAACAATGCATACAAAATGAATTAATAATCACGTGTAAATACTTTGATTATGCCAGACACCCTGTCATAATCGCTACTCAAACCAGAATTCATTGTACTGTAAACAACGCATACAAAATGAATTAATAATTACGTGTAACCAACACAAAACATCGAAACAAGTGTGCTCTGAACGGGGAAAGAAGAGACACAAATTCCATATTGATGATATATTAGTTTTCCTAGTTAAACATCCCTTAAGTATTCTTTTCATACATAGTTATCGCATACACATTATGTGTAACAAAAACATAAATGGTTAAAGAAAGAGGGTGGAGATGAACACAGTTTGGAGATGGCAGATGTTGTTTAATTATGGTTATCTCCACTGTCTATGTTGAGAATGGACGGTGGATGTCCAACATTTGAATTAGAATATACATCTTGAGTGTACCACACATCAAATTCACTTTTTTATATTGCTTTTTACTTCATTTTCTCATTTAGTGGTAATGTTTACTCCTTTTTCATTTTTTTTCTTTTTGTTTAAAAATATTCATACCTTCTTGCACATTCAGTTTCTTTCCATTTTGGGCTTCTATATTTGATAATTTTTGGTGTTAAGTTTCATTTCATTATTTTCACATCTGTCATTTTAACTTATCAAGCCTCACTATTTTTGACATTTCTTTTCTTATTTTAGGTTATGTTGTGGTTTATGGCCTTTAAGGGCCGTGAGAGCATGTAAATAAGAATTATAAGGGAAATACACTTCAATAGGAGTGTATGCATTGGTAGGCTGACCTAGGGTTAGACGGTCTATAGCCCTAGTCATATCTAAAACCCTTACTCTTGGGCATATGGCACTCCAAAAGAGGGTTTTCAAAAGGTCATATCTTATTGAGGTCGGAAAGATGGCCAGGGATAGTTTGTAGGTCAACAGAGTTTTGCGGTGTTCTATGTGCAGAGGTAGATATGTAAAAATGAGCGTTAAATCCTCAACAAACTTCCACATGACATGTACACATGGCAGCCAGATTACCGAGAAGAGACCCTGAAAGGGATATGTATAAATGTGCATAGAGATAGTCTCCCTTGCACTATGGTGATATGTACGTATATCTTGCTCTTAAGGTGGGAACCTGTAATTTACATTTGGGGATCGCGATTTCACTATTTATTTGCCAGCTTTAACAAGTCAATCATGAAGCCCTGCATGAGACTGCGAGTCATGGCTCTCATTGGGTTTGTTTGAGAGGATAGTCGGGGATCACAGTTACCAGGTCGAGTGGAGTGCCCTGAAAATCACTTTTCTAACCGACCATTGGGCGCCTAGGTGCCTGAAGGGCCCTAGGCCACACACTTGGGCTTGGGCAATCATCCCTGGCGCCTAGGTGGCCTAGGTGGGCGCATGCAGGTGCTCAACAATTAATTGAATCAAAGAAGAAATCTAAGGCTTTTAATTGTCTTTTATTTTGTATTTCATCTTGTTTTTTGCATTGCATCATCTTGTATTCGACATTTGGACTTTTTTCTTTTTTTTGAGAAACAAGACATTTGGACTTTATGGCTTTATACATCTATCAAAGACTTGGAGTCCATGTGACCATGCCTATGTTTGTGTAACTGTGTATCATGATTGTACCTCACTATCGAGTATGGATTGGGGAGTTGGAGACTAGTACACTATGGACTTTTTTAGTACAATATAGACTTTTTTATGTTTTTTCACTAAATTTTCTATGATTTGAAGTTTTGAATGTGTTTCAATATTTATGCGTATATATTTGCATGAAAAAACGTCATTAGGAATATATAAATGCAAAAAATAAAAAATTAACGCAAATATCTATATATATATACATGCATTTGGAAAGCACATATTTGCATTTTCTAAAATACTTTCACCTCAGGGAGCCTAAGGTTCTGGGCGCTAGGCATTAGGCGCCAGGCCGGCCACCTAACATTTTCTGAAACATTGCTCATTCTCTACACCGAATTCTAGCCCCTCTCTCTCTCTCTCTCNCTCTCTCTCTCTCTCTCTCTCTCTCTCTCGTCTCGTCGTCGTCGTCGTACGTCGTACGTCGTACGTCGTACGTACGTACGTACGTACGTACGTACGT